TGTATCTAACCCCGTGCTGTCCCTGGGAGTGTTTGATGGGGGGGACAATGTACAGGGAGCTTTACTCTGTATCTAACCCCGTGCTGTCCATGTCCCTGGGAGTGTTTGATGGGGGGGACAGTGTAGAGGGAGCTTTACCCTGTATCTAACCCTGTGCTGTCCCTCTGTAGCACACGACGGTCCGGTCTACAGCCTGGTTTCCAACAGCCGGCAGCTGATAAGCTCCGGCACTGGAGACATCAAAGGATGGAATTGGAATGATCTCATTAAAAAGGTGAGGGGGGCTTCACCGACTCAGCTCAACCTGTGATCCAGGATGGTGTTTCTAACATACTGTGACCCCCAGACCCAGAAGGATGGGGAGGGTGGCGGGGGGAAGGACCGTGTACCGAACGCACCGTGATAATTCTGTTTGTGTTTTAGGGATGCAAAGAGGCTTGGAACCGTCGACCTGCGTTTGGGTAACAAAAATAATTTATTCAAATGTTTTGCATGGTATTAGACCCCAAACCCCTTCCCCGTTCACTCCCGCTCTGCACCGTCCCCATGGACCCCAAACCCCTTCCCCGTTCACTCCCGCTCTGCACCGTCCCCATGGACCCCAAACCCCTTCCCCGTTCACTCCCGCTCCACACCGTCCCCAGTGAGTTGGGTTCCGTCCTGTGACACAGGGACAGGAGGAGGCCATTCGGCCCGTACCGCCATTCCATCAGATCGCGGTGCCCTTCGCCACACCCTCCCCTCCTGAGCTGCCCCTCCCCTCCCTGTCTGAGCCCTCCCACCCTCACTCCCTTCGCCCTCTGTGCCTTGCAGTCCTGGGGGTGCCTGAGGCCTGGCAGCTACCCTCCCTGGCACGGTTTCACCTGCGGGCCATTTGTCGTGCCCCCTCAGATTTGTACCCCAGTCCCAGGGGGTTGGTTACTGCCTCAGAGCACCCTCCCCACCCCCACTTTGCTTGGACTGATTGGTCGGGCAGGGTGGGGTAGATTGGGTCTCTCAATAGGGAGCACCAAGGCTTTTATCGGCTCTGCTTGGATTGACACACAGCAGTGCTAGAGCAATGCAGCTGTCTGTCTTTCCACACACACCCCTCCCCACCTCCTGCGGGTGCGTTGGCGTGGACCTCTCTCCATTTTCTGTTCACCTTCTGTTCCCACAGAACTCGCTTGGACATCCCTGAAATCAACAGTCTGGTGCTGAACCAGAAGGTGAAACACGCCACACAATGTCTCTACCTTTCTCTTGCTCTCGCTCTCTCTCATTCGCTCTCTCTCTCTCTCGCTCGCTGTCTCTCGTTCGCTCTGTGTCTGTGTCTCTCTCTCTCTGGCTCGCTGTCTCTCGCTAGCTCTGTGTCTGTGTCTCTCTCTCGCTCTGTGTCTGTCTGTCTGTCTCTCTCTCTCTC